TTATACAGTGCACATATTTTTATAATAAAAAGACCATCATATATTGTAATAGATGTACTAGTGACTAGAGTGACTTCAGAGTAATCTCTCTGAGTAGTGGAAAATTGAAGACAAAGATTGTGCTGTCGCCTGGTGGGCATGGTGAGCTCTGTCCAGTGGGTGGGTGCACTCGTGCCAGGGAGCAGCATCGAGAGCTCTCGGGGGGGGCACTGTTAGGTGCTGATTTACAGGATGGTTTGTGGGACCACTAGTTACTCTGCCCGGGAAAAGAGCCATCGTCACCCGTAAAGATTACCGCCTAGGACACCTTGGGAGGTGGTTTAACTCAGTTTTGTCAGGTCACTAGACTTAGCATCTGTCCATAATGGAAAGTCATGGGTTTCTAGTACTTTTCAAGAATGACTATCTAGGGTAAAATGTGTCATCTAATGGGATGTTGATAAAATATATTCATTTTTCAGGGATGATATTGCAGACTTAGTAGAAGCCAAAAAGTTGCTTAAGGAAGCTGTGGTGTTACCTATGTGGATGCCTGAATTCTTTAAAGGCATTAGGAGACCATGGAAAGTAAGTTTATTGATATTTTAACATTGTCAAAATGCATGACAAGTATATTGCTGTAGAGAGCTTGTGTTTTTTTGTATTAGGGCAGGTGGCAAGAAACAGTGGAGGAGATGTAAGAGAATTTTAAAAATACATTGTGAGGGAGCTCTGGTGGCCTAGTGGTAAGACGCTGCACTGCAGTCCCAGAGGTACATGGTTCAAATCCACCAGATGCTCTGCTGGAGAAGGAGGGGGCAGTCTCCTCCTGTACCCGTCAGATCTGATTTGATGGTACATGTAAAAAAATAATACAATAAAAATTTTTTAAAAAAAAGTAAAAACAAAAAAAATACATTGTGTTACTCAGAACTTTGTTTTTAAATAGAATTTTAGGTTAAAGCTGTTACAAGATTCTCAGAGTAAGAAATACAGTGTTGGAAAATTGGATACACAACATATTTAGCATCCACTTCCTCTTGTTGTGTGCAGTTGAGTTGTCTGCAACTCATAGCGACCCTGTGTATAGTAGCTCTGAATGCTGTTCTGTACTGAGCCCCTCTCATTGTCTCTGACACACCTGCTCCCATTACCGTCACTGTGCCTGTCCATCTTCTCTAAGGTCTTTCTCTGCTGTGCTGTCCCTCCACCTTGCATTTGCAAATATGAACTAGATGGCCAGTGCACAAGTACTCCACGTTATGTGTCATGATAAATAACATGTATCGTATGGTTTTGGAAATTGTTTTTAGGAAATTAATAAGAAATGCCCTTTACTTCCAGTTTGAACACACAAATGTGTTTTGGAGGGCTGTGTACCTCAAAGGCTCCAAAGACTATTTCCTTTTGACAGTAGTCTAGGGAGTACTCTTTAAAGTTTGGGGATGATCTGATAAGAGACTGAAGCTAACTCTCAGCAGTCAGTCTGCTTATTAATATTTTCATTCAAAAATACTTTAAATGTTAAATAATCAAGAACCAGAATGTAAACATATTTTAAGTGTGACTCTGTAAAAAAAAAAAAATATATATATATATATTTCTGACCAAAAACACTGTTGTTGTTGTTGTGTACTGTGGAGTCGGAACCCACCCATAGCTGACCCTCTGGCAGGTTTTCACAGGCAGTTAATTGCAAGGGAGGAGATTTCCCATCCTTCTCCCAGAGAGCAGTTGGTGGCCTTGAACCGTGTGCCTTCAAGATTGCAGTGCAACTTTTTGCCACTAGGCAAGCAGTGCTCCCTAAGAGCATTGAGGACCAGATTCTCGGCAGTTTGTTTGTTATGTAATGCTCTCAGCTTTTATCATCCTCTATTTTCACATAATCCTGGTGTTCATAGAGACCTGGTCCTTGTAACCCAATCATGGTTTGTGAGTTGAGTGTATTATGTATAAATGGTTGAAATATGATGCTTAGTAATGGGATATTAATGAGTTAGAACCATGGCAGAGAAATTCTTTGCTTACACTGTTATATTTCTAACAGGGAGTGCTGATGGTTGGCCCACCTGGTACAGGAAAGACCCTCCTTGCTAAAGCAGTGGCTACAGAATGCAAAACAACGTTCTTCAATGTCTCTTCGTCAACCCTGACTTCAAAATACAGAGGAGAGTCTGAGAAGCTTGTTCGTCTTCTCTTTGAAATGGTGAATGTTTGATACAGCACTTAAGATTCTTTATCTATACATATCCCATTTCAGTTCAGAAAATGAGTTGTCACCATCTTCACTGAGTAGAATAGATGGGCTCGATGACGTTTTCGCCTGAAGTCTTTTTTTCCTATACACACTTTGGCCCTGAGTACATGAAATGTAACACTGCACTAACATGGGCAACGGGAATTTCTCCTTGTTCTCTTTCCTCTGGAGGTGGATCCGTCTCTTAGAATTTATGAGTATGTTGACATCATCGGATCTGTATTGCTAATCTGCTGTAGAAATCACAAACTATTCCTGATGTATTTTAGGTCAGGCTTACCTAAATAATGTTCAGTGTTGTCTAATAACAAAAACACCAAAAAGGGAAATTAATTGTGGAATTTGGATCACTGCCACCAATTCGCTACACCAGATACCTTGAGTTTAATGGCCCAGTCTTTGCATTAACTTCTTTCTCTGAATTTAATTTTCTTTCTTCTTCCTCCATAAGTCTCAGTACGGAGGAGGAGAAATGTGATTCAACAGGTCCTGGTCATAGTTGGATTAACCGCATTTTAGACTTCAGATTTGGTTACGCTTCACAGATGACTTTAGTATTGTCAAATTAAAGCAGGAGTTCTGAGGATTGGGTCTGAGTTGTATTATGTACACAGTGACAGAGATTTAGATGTTGGGTTCAAATCCTTACTAGTCCGATTTCAGGTTTGCCATTTTTTTTCCCCTTTGACTTGGTTAATTCATAAATCACGATACAAATTTTAACATAGGTTTTCAAAATCAGTATGCCTGTTGCGTCAGGAAATTATAAAAATAGATTGCTAAAGTTTGAGAATTGGCTTTTAAAGCCAAAGGTGGGTGACGTTAATCCACCCTGCTTTCAATTGTTTTTGGTCAAACATTCTTCTAGGTCCCATAACCCTGATCTGTCCATTTGCTGTACAGAGGTAACTCGTGGTGGCTGTGAACATGAACACTGTGACACTGATGAATTAAATGTGAGAATGGTTACCCATGGTGGACAGTGTTTAGTGGAGCTCCCCAGTCAAAACAAGCTTGGAAACAGGAGTGGCATCAACTTCCGAAATAGCTTGCCTCTGGAAACCCTATGAACCTGGAGAAAGGAAGAAAGTTATACAAGTGTTCAGGTCTTTCATTCATAGGGTTGATGTGAGTGGCCTATGACTCGACAGCACTTAACAGCAACAGCAACAACAGCAAGAAGCTAAATTGACGGGGTGTCAGTCATTCTAGAGCGGCTCTGGCCCTGTGGCCTAGGTTTGGGCAGTGGCCACCTCTGTCACTTTCCCAGCCAAAAATTATGGGCATGTTACTCCCTTTCGTCAGCCTCAGGTGCTTTGTCTGTGAGAGGACAATCCTGATTCTGCCTCTGTCATTTTATCAAGGAAGAATGACCTAATTAATAATACACGGACGTTGCCTAATATGCAGGCTCACTCATGTGAGCTTAATAGGTCTTTATTGTTTCTTTAAAAGTACTTATTTTCTGTTGCAGAAAAATTCCACTTTATTCCTTGAGAGGAAGCCATTTACTAAATCCTAATCCGCGTAGTTTAACTCTCCCAGTGAGAGGGATGAACCGCCCAAACCCACTTCCATGGACGCGATCCTGACTCCTGCCAATGCTTCTGGGGCTGTAAACTTGGTAGAAACAGAACGCCTCATTTTCCCTGGTGGTGGGTTCAAACCGCTGACCTTTCATGGAGTGACACAGCACCCACTGTGCCCCCAGAAATCCCTTGTGAAGGGATTATCAACTATCAACAGGCTTGTTTACCGACTAGTAAGAAGCTGTGTAGCAGTCTTAAAGGCATGTTGTTGTTAGGTGCCATCGAGTCATAGGCAACTCATAGTGACACTGTGAACAAAAGTCCTCAACACTTGTGTGACTTTTGTCCTTTTCCCAGGTTCATAGGGTTTCCGGAGGCAAGCTATTATGAAAGTGGATGCCATTCTTGCTTCCAAGCTTCTTTTAATCTCAAAGGCATATCAATTTTTTTTTTAAATAATTTATTATTTTTTGTGTGTGTACCTCAAATAGAATCTGATTGGCTCAGGAGGCAATTGTCCCTTCTTCCCCAGCAGAGTATCTGGTAGGTTTGAACCATGCACCTCTGGGATTGCAGTACAGCTTCTTGCCACTAGGCCACCAGAGTTCTCTAGGCATATTTGACTCTACCAGCTGCTCCATGCGAGGAGGATGGGAAGTCTCCTCCCATGCAGTTTACTCCCTCGGAAGATGCACTAGACGGTCAGCCCTCAGTCAGTTCCGAATCAACAGCAACCAACCATTGCCCCCGGTTATTGCTTGGGCCAGTCATTAACCATCAGTAGTAAGCAAACCCACACTCATCCTCGAGGGTGCCACCCTGAGTTACTCACTGAAGCAGCGGCTCATCTATGAACAAGTGCTAGCGCTGGAGGTTTCGCCTTTGTGACTTTGGCAAGGGATCATATGTGAAAGCAGCGTGGGTTTTTCCTATTCATCTTCGTGCTCTCTTCTACGTAAGGATTTAACATAAAAAAAGTCTTAAACTTGTTGAAAATTTGTCCAGAATATTTCACAAAATACGATAACAGTCACACAAAATTAGGTAATTTTTGTTGGAGTATTAAAAATTTTCATTTTCAAGTATCTAGTAAAGAGTATATAATTAAAGGGTCTTCCCCCAACCCCACCCCCAGCCACACCGAAAGCTTATTGGAGGACAGCCAAGGACGGGTTGAGTTATGGCGCATCCAGATCTGGCTCCGGCAGAGATCTGTTCCCCAAGGAATCATCCCAAGATTCAGCCGTGGCTGGCAGCCTGGTCCACCTCCGAGTCGCTCACTGTTTACAGGGCCGCCTGCTGTAGACTGGGGCCCCAGTTATGCGCGAACGCATGCTCTTTTTAGAGTCTACCCCACCTGCATTTACAAACCTGAAGATTTGGGTGGCGTGATTCCGTCTCCTTAAGAGGAGGATGACACAGTTGAGTCTGACATGCGGTTTTGTGGACTAATCCTTGTCTAAGAGCTGCCTTTCACAGGATCCAAAAAGTCTTCCCTGTTCCTTGGTTTGAGGAAGAAACAGATTTACAATGTGAAAATAAACTTGGGGCTTATCACCCAGCCATGGAAGGAATGAAGAACTGATGTAGGGCTTCAACATGGTGAACTCTGAAAACAATATGCTCAGTGAAAAAAGAAGCCGGAGATGAAAGGTCCCATGTCTGTGATTTCATTTATAAAATGTCCAGAATAAGCGGACCTGGAGAGCAAGATGGTTGAGTGGTGCTTGCCAGGGGCCAGAGGGAAGGGTATGAAGAAAATGCTCTGAAATGAAATAGTGCTTGTGGTTACATGCTGAAATGGTAAACTTTATATGACTTTTTCCTTTCTAAAAATTTTACTTAAGATATGTGAAATATAAATTTATTATTATTTTAACCATTGTTAAATGTATAATTCAGTGTTGTTAATTATATTCACATTGTACAGCCATCACTATTAAGCAAGTGTTGTTAATTATATTAACATTGTACAGCCATCACTATTAAGCAGAATTTATTTTGAAAAGCAAATTTAGACCATATAAACTGACTTTTCTAATTAATAACTTTAAAAAGTAGGAATATGCAGACATAACAAATCAAAAAAATGAATGGAAATTTAAATAGTATTTCTTGAAAGAAACACATGATTTTACTTAAGGTAATAGTTCTTTAACCCTTCTAACATCTAGAAATATCTCTTCCACCAGTTAGTCATGTTGTTTAAGTGCATAGGATGCCGCTGCTGTATTTCTGTCACTTGTAAATCAGTATGCGAAGTCAGGTATCAGTATGTGAGGTCAGATACATTATTGAGACGGAACCGAGAGCTTGTTGGGTGATGACTGTGTCCTCTCAGGCTGCTATGAGGCTGGATGAGACCTCCTCTTCTCTCTTCTGATGCTGAGATTGTGGCAGAGGGGAGAAGAGCACCAGGTGGCAGACTCCCCGGCCACTTCCTAACTGCTTAACCTGCCACAATACTAAAAGTTTAAAACTAACGTTGCCTTGATTCCTCCTTTAGGCTCGATTTTATTCTCCAGCCACCATATTTATTGATGAGATCGATTCCATCTGTAGTCGCAGAGGGACTTCGGAAGAGCACGAAGCAAGCAGAAGGGTGAAAGCTGAGCTGCTGGTTCAGATGGATGGTACGCCTGGGTACAGGGCTGCACTGCCTGGGGTGGGAGGTGGTGAAGTGCCAGCCCCGGTGAATCAGGCTGTACCCATCATGGAGACGCAGGCTTCAAATAGTGTTTATAGCACCTAGCAAACTGGAGTGGACTGGCAAGCAGTATCCTCTAGGGGTAGTTAGTTGGTTAAGATAGACAGAAATAGATCTACATACGTCGACAGAGGTGCCATGCCAGTGCTAACAGGTATTTATGGTGCACCCGCTGGCATGTGATGAATCTCTTCTTTTCAGCCTTGAAATTTAAGTAAATGCAGGTGTGTTGACTTTAGGGCTATATCTGCTTTTGAAATGAAAGAAAAAAAATTGTTAAATAGTTGAGCAGAGTTGATCTTTTGATTGAATCTGTGGAATCATCTTTTTGCATGTGTAAAAAATCACATTACGAGCTCGGTTTTAAAAAATTTGAAGAGTAATTTATCTTGTGTTGCGTGAAATATTTAATTATCTTAACTGAGCTTTATTTTGTATAATCCGACGTAATTTTTCTTCTCTCCTTCAACTGCTTTTAGGTGTTGGAGGGGCTTCTGAAAATGACGACCCTTCCAAAATGGTGATGGTTCTGGCAGCTACTAATTTTCCCTGGGACATTGATGAGGCTTTGCGACGACGACTTGAGAAAAGAATCTACATTCCATTGCCTTCAGGTAGCTTCACTCAGGAGTAATAAAACTCATGCTACCTCTCAAGCTGTGTTACTTAGAAACATTAACGTCTGGTATTGCCTGATTTTCTTTAAGAGACACATGGTTATCTTTATTGTAGTAAATGGTCTCTGGCCATTTGAGTTTGACTTGATCTAGAGCCTGAAACCCTTTACATTAGGAAACAGAAGATTCAGTGAGTGGAAAGAAAGCTGCTTACATTTTCAAGCAAAACAGTCCTAAGAATTGGGGATAAAAGCCTTTGAAAAGGCCCAAGTAGCAGTGCTGCGTGATGTTGATGTTTTTGGAGGAATTGTGGTGGCACCCGGAGCCAGGGGCTCGCCAGGAGTTGAAATCAGCCAGGCAGTGCAGGGTAGTAGTAAGTGTGTCATTACATTACTGTTATACATTGCCCAGTGCCGTTAACCTGTTCAGACACAGAGCTCTGTTCCCTGAGTTTCCACGACCCGCTCCTCCTCTAGAAAGCCCATCTTTCTCCCCAGGAGCAGCTGAGAGGTTTCAATGGTTGTAGCAGTAAGCCACATAGAAGTCCTTAATAACGCAGTTACATTTTTGTTTCCACTTAGCAAAAGGCAGAGAAGAGCTGCTACGGATAAGTCTTCGTGAGCTGGAATTGGCCGATGATGTGAACCTTGCAAGGATAGCAGAAAACATGGAAGGCTATTCAGGTGCAGACATTACCAATGTGTGCAGGTAGGCACTACTCTGGAAACAGGTTTTTGTGGGTGGCATTTATATTAGATGTTTTTATGCTGATTATGGGTGAAGAATAAAGACCCACGTTGGAGTCAGAGTTTTGGTTTTCAGTATGTTTCAAGGGATTCTGGTGAGACATCATTGGTTCTCTTGTGTCAGTGAAGAGCCAACGTTCCATGGAAAGTTAGTGTAAAGTAGAAAATAATTTTTTTTTGGATAAAAATGCTAACATTGGTACACTTTCTTGTGTAAGAAATGTGATGGAGATTGCCATAGTCTCATCTTCAGTGTGGTCCAATTTTCTTTGTAACTGTTCTGATACTAATATAAAGGACAAAAGGAACATGTCAGGTAGCTGACTCCAGTAGGTTTTGTCCTCGCCTGGGCATGAATTCAGATGTCCTGTTGGTAACAGTGGAATGGGAGCTCTGGTGGTGCCTCAGACTGTCCAGCTACTCTGCAGGGGGTTGGTGGGTGGGAAGTCTCCTCCTGTGGGATTTACCGCCTTGGAGGGTTAGGTGGAGGTCAGTTACGACTCCACAGCACATGTCACGGTTTCCTCATCTCTGACATGAGCATGGCATGCTGGTTTGTCGTGAAGATTAGAGATAACGTGTGTATCTATAAAGCAGTCCTTAACAGGAATGGTGACTCTATTAATCATGAAATTTGATGAAAAGAGGTACTTGAAGCGGAAGGGGCTTTTTTATTTTTTAAGAAGCAGAAACCCATCTGGGTGGTTCTCTAGCTTTCCTTTATAGATGTAGAAATCATGTCATTTTTAGATCACAAGCTCTCCTTATCTCTGGTGCTGCTGCTCTGTTTCATTGGACATTTATAATGAAGTAGAGTCGCTAGCATCCTTCCTGTACCTTTGGGCTGTCATGCTCAGTAGTGGTCATTTCATTAGAACCTTCATTTCATTATGGAAGAAAGCACCTTGGTAGAGGTTTTGTGTCCATTCTTAGGTGCAGTTCTGTGTGTCACAAGGTAGTGTGTGTTTGGTGCCGTCGAGTGGACTGTGACTCTGTGAACTACAGCTGAGACCCTTGTCCTGCCCCATCTGCGCCGTCTCTGTGGGAGCCCACCCTCGCGCGGACACCGCTCATCACAGTAGTGAAGCGGAGGTTCAGCGAGAGGAGATGCGCTGGCACAGATGCGCTGGGAGCCCAGCCCCGGCAGCGGTGAGGACAGCACAGAGGCTGCGCAGGTTTTGTTTCGTGGCACACAGATCGGAGTCTAAATCAGCTTGACAGCATTTAACACATGCCTTGAAAAAAGTTCTGTTCGCAGGTTTGGGGGTTTTTAATCTGTTTCTCTAAATATAAATGTAGGGATGCATCCTTGATGGCAATGAGAAGGCGTATTGAAGGTCTGACCCCAGAGGAGATCCGTAATCTCTCAAGAGAAGAAATGCACATGCCTACGACGATGGAGGATTTTGAAATGGCTTTAAAAAAGGTTTCTAAATCAGTGTCTGCTGCAGACATTGAACGATACGAGAAATGGATATTTGAATTTGGATCATGCTGAATTCTTACATGTCAGCCGTGAGAAGCTGCCTTAAGGTTTTGACAATAAACAAATGTATTTCGTTACATTGAGTGCTATATTTTTTTAAATTTTCCTAGTAAGATTTTTTGTAAAAATTGATTCTGAATAAAGGTGATTTTTAAAAAAATATATACAAACAAATTTGTCTTACTTTAATATTACTTTGTTTCCCTGAACACAAATGTTAGTTATTTAACTATGTACAGAATCCTCTCTTCCACTATCTGCAGCTCTTCCTAGGAAGGAGAATAAGATTGTCCCTCACTCGCTGCGTGCCAGTGGCTGTGGTGAATTCCTGAACCTTTCTGCACAGGCAGCTAAATGGAAGCATGGCCCAGGCCCGGTGTTCCTGCCTGCCTTCCTCAGTGGGAATTGTCTCTCAATGAGAGCGCTGGCAAGTCCTTCATTTTACTGTTGTCTTTAAAGGAAGCAGAAGGTACACAACTTTGCCATGTTTTATTCTAACTATATAAGTGGTCATACTTTATGCATGTATATGCATACTTATATATATCCTTACTTAGTGGTAAGGATCTGGGCTGGCAACCCAATGGTAGGTGGTTCGAATCCTCCATGGGAGATAGATATTTGCTCCCATGTGATTTCCGGTCTCAGAAACTAGCTGAAGGCTTAGCTGTGACTTAATTCCCATTTGGCACTGATGAGTCCTCAGAACAGTCAGCAAATTCAAGTCAGTGGTAGAAACGTTTAGGTAAGATTCGCATTTATGACTACATTTGACACTTTTTGTTAACATTCCACCCATAGGTGAGAAATCACAGCCTTAAGGTTAGTTAAATACTTTGCTGAAGTCCCCAGTTGTTGTTGTGCACCATTGAGTCGGAACCAACCCTTAACTGACCCTCCAGTGGGTTTTCAAAGGCAGTTAATCGCATGGGAGGAGACTGCCCATTCTCCTCCCGTGGAACATCTGTTGGAGATTCAAACCATGTGCCATTGGGAATACAGCACAGCTTCTTGCCATTAGGCCACCAGAGTCCACAGTAGCACTAAAAAAGAATCAGGATAAGAATTGGGTATGCAGGCTATTAGCTGTACTACTCTTCAGTCAGCCTCAGGTTTTCTCAAGGATCTGTAAGCTTGTGCATTAAAATAAGACCTCTTCGGAGGCTCATAAACTTTAGATGTGTGATCAGGAGGGATCAGTCCCTGGATAAAGGCCTGTTTGGGGAAGATCCCCCACGAGATGGACTGAGACGGTGGCCACAGCTGTGACTGAGGGTGGTGCAAGGCCAGGCCGTGCTGCTTGGACGGGGTTGTTACAACTTAACAGCCAACTCAATGGCACCGAACATCATTTGCAGTACTTTAGCAACTTAACAGTGAGGTAGGACATGAAGAAATTAATAAGCGTCTAGTCATTACATTCTTTGGCATTGTTTTCAGTGGTGGCTTCTGACCGGAAACATTTAATGAAACAGAGTTAGATGTATCTCATATGCGGTAAAGAGATGGACAGGGTCACACTGTCAAATAACTGTAATGTTGGCAAGAGTTTAAAAAGACAGTTAATAAAAAGACAGATAAACCCTGCCGTGGGTAAACAGTATGACTCAGAACCCCCAAACCGTGGACACATCCTAATTCCACAGTCAAGTGGACTTGTGAACCGTTCCGAGCCTTGGTTTCAGCTGGTATGAAGAGGTGCTACCTTCTGTGGTTACAGGCAGTGCTCTTAGGTAATTTTAATAACTACTTTTCCCATCAGGTAAGTTTAGAGTGAGAACATGTCAACGTTTCTCTTAAATCCTGGTGTATTCAAAAGAAGTAGTTTTGGTACAAAATACAAATTGCACACTTCAGAGATTTTATACTGAGCCACAAACTTAATACAAAGGCACATACTGGATAAAAAAAAAGTGTTCGGTTCTTAAATGTTTAAATTAGAATTTCATAAAGTGCTTTTCACTAAGTCATATAGTAATCAAGTGGATATCATTTCCCTAACAAAGGCACCTTGGAAAGTTATTGGCACATGGCATTCTACCTTGCCTTTTTCTTTTTCCTTTTTGGTAATTCCAAAGTCTTTCTCCATGTCTTGTCTTCACTTTAACCGTCCTTAACAGTCCATCATCTGAATAGCCCGCTGTCTGAGAATAAGGTGAACCTGTCACTTTAGTGGTCACATCTGAGGAAGTCGTCTTAGGGGTTTTTCACTTGGTCTAGTCTAAGTTGATTCTTAATGATTTAAAGGAAATTACATTCAAGTGACAAATTTGGAGGCAGTAGACTAATTCTGAGTTCATGATTTGAGAAGGTGTTTTAAATAAGTGTTTTGTCTTCGAGGCTTTTTGCTGTTTTCTCAAGATCATCTGGATATAAGTTGATGGCTGTCACTGGTATAACTTTGATTTTATCCAACTGAAGAATTCCTCTGCAATAAAAGATGATCAGTTACTATAAAAATCAAATAGTTCCTCTTCTGACAGTTAGCAAGACTGAGCTACTCTAAAGTTACAAGTAAGGATATATTTGGATTAACACTTTGTGAATCCAAAGTCCATTTTAACAGCTGACTGAGAGACTCTAAAAGTACAAGAGGAAGTACATTAGTTAGTAGGGAAGGAAGGGATAAGCTAAGTACAGCTCTTCAAGGCACACACTAGACTTGTGTGGGGTGGACAAGAAGACTGGGCACACACAGCTTTCTAACGAGAACTTGCCACTCTACTGTGACCTTACACCACATTTCCTTTTCTGTTAGTAAAATACCTGAGCAAAGTGTGTATCTTTAGAGCCATTGAAACTGTTACGGCCCAAGAATCGACATATTGGTCACTGGAATAGAAAAGAGTCCTGTGACAGACGTTTCATGTATGTGGGAGTTTAGTTTATGATAACATTCCAAGTCAGGGGGCAGGAGCTGATAGGATCATGGTGCCTCTATTTGGGGGGGAAAAAATTGGAACTCTAGCTTAACTTGTACCCAAAAGTGATGATAAAAAGTAAGTTTTAAGAAAATACTTTTAGCGCTCTGCTCCCTTCAGCCAAAAACATACTAAAACTGGAATGAGACAAGATCTTATATATGGTTTCTGTGCAAAGATTACATGCAAATTCATGAAGAATTTCATAAAGGTTTTCATAAAGTACAAAAACACGCTCAATGTAATTTTATGATGGGGAAAAAGTCCACTTAAGAAAAATCTGCTGGCATAGCATATAGAGAATGGTACTAATCCAGAGCCCTTTGCCTCTCTGGGGGTTCAAATCCACCAGCTGCTCAAAGCTAGGCAGTATCCTCCTATGTGGTTTACAGTCTGAAAACCTGCTCTAGGAGCAGCTATACGCCAACTGAGCCAGAACTCTTGAGTTCTCCTCAGTACAACCACCATTAATAAAGCATATAGTAAACTGGAAACTGCACTGCTGTCTCAAAGGCATGTGGTTCGAATCCATCAGCTGCTCCACTGGGAGAAGGATGGGCCGTCTCCTGTGCAATTTCCAGTCTCTGAAAATGCACTGGAGGATGGGTCGATTACAACTCAACAGCACACAATAACAATTTCATTTGGGTTTTTATGCTGCACTGGGTGCTGCTGTTCAGTCAGGCAATCCCTATGATACCTGTTTGCTTTTGTTTTCAGGTAAAAACAATGTTACAGTGAATGTCCTCTTATTCTTCTGAAATTACATTCTTTTTTTTAAATTGATACTCTGGGTTGAAAATATATAGTGAAGTCCTCCTATTTTGTTTAGATCTCTGGTCATAGACACTGTATTTCCCATTATAAAAATTCACTATCTTGCCCTATGAGATTGAAGGACAAAGCAGGGTTCCCACCTATTGTACAGGGGGACATTGTAAAGGCATGGAACAGCAACATGCCATGGACGGTTTGTTTCATTTGCATTTGAATCTGTCAATGATCATACAGTATTTGGCAAATATCTTAATTCTGCTGGAAGATGAGCTAGGAACAAAGGCCTTGATTTCCTCTCCCTCTTGTCTTACCCTTTCTAATATTTTCTATTATAAAACACAGTAAATGTAACTCATTTTAATCACTAAAAATGCTATTCTTGTTTGTAAAGTAGGAAATACTTACTTGTATTCACAAACTGGAAAAAGCACCTTTAAGATAGTTATTACCACAGCTGCTCCTGTAATTCCGACCACCATGACATTGAGAAACATAAAGAACACAGGGAAAAGAGAGTTCCAGAACCTGCACAGGTCTTTCCTGAACTTTTCCATCCACTGACACATGACCTGAGAAAAGAAGTTCTGATTAGATCTGCCGAGTTTCATTTGTGCTCTAAGAATAACTAAAAATAAAAGTCCTGATTTTGAGGCATGGGAATATTCTCTTCCTTGATGGGAGGAGACATGAGTGTCTACATCTGTCAAAAATGCATCAACTATATTTACATTACAGTTTTCAAAGTGACTTAGAATTTTAACAATTATTGTCCTAATAATACAGACACAGAAATGTCACTATCCTTAAAAAATATAATGTTGGCTAATTAAACAAAACAAAAATTAACTGCTCTTTGACAAAAGAACTGAGTCACATACTGCTTCCCACTGTTGGGGGGCAGGGGCAAAGAGAAGGAAGAGAAAGTCAAACAGGTTAGTTGCCTTCAGAAGAGATGGCAAGTTCATTGTGTACAAAACACATTTCTGTCCTTGAGAGGGTGAGAGGAGGCACTGAGGGGCATGGTCCAGGAAGACAGCCTGTTCGTGAGCTGACGTGCTCTGAGGGAGGCAATCCAGGCAGCAAAACAGTCTAGGTATCTAGAACAACCTCGAATTCTGACCTTAGTGACACTTCTTTAAGTGTAATCTCTGGAGTCTTTTGAAATAATCAGTTGTGGCTCATTCAACTGGAAACTATTTGAGCTAAGGGGCTCATTATTTGATGGCACAGTACATTTATATACAGTACTCATTTTACTTTTTTCTTTACTCCCTCCACCCATCAAACTGTATGGCTCTGTGATTTCTCACCTGGCCACCCTTACCCCTCTGCTCCTACCCTTTACCCCCCTGGACCACTTACACCTTTTACTAATTATCCTTCTATTTTTACAATAATGGTCCTATGCAGTATTTGTCCTTATGAGACTAAATTCACTCAGAATAATGTTCTCCAGTCTCTCTCAAGTTATGTAATATTTTTTCTAAATTGTTGCTCTGAGTGCTGCATAGTATTCCATCATGTGAATGTACCATAATTTCTCAGTCCATTCGATTGCAGTTGGATATCTGCACTGTTTTCATGTTCTTGTGATGGTGAATAACGCTTCTATGAGCAATGGCGTACAAATCTCCATTTGTGTACTCTGATATTCCTAGCAGTGGATAGCTGGGTCATATGGGATTTCAGTGTTCAGTTTTTTGAGGAAATGCCAAATTGCCTTCCAGGGTGGCTATACCATTTTACAATCCCACCAACAGTGTATAAGAGTTCTAATCTCTCCATGTCCTCTCCAACATTTACTGCTTACTGTCCTGTTAAACTTTGCCACTGCTATCGCACTGTGGTTTTGATTTGCAACTCTCTCACTACCAGTGATTTTTCTATTTATTTATGTCTTTCATTGTTTCTCAAAGAAGTGTTTTGTAGTTTTCTTTGTAAAGGTTTTTTTGTGTCTCTAATTAGGTTTATTCCTAAGTATCCCAACAAAGCAAGGAAACACTGCATGGTTCAAAATTGGGAAGGGAGTACGCCAGGGATGTGTCCTGTCTCCATAGCTTTTTAATCTATAATATGCAGAACAGATTATCTGGGAGGCTGGCCTCTATGAGGAGAAATGTGGCATCAGGACAGGAGGTAGACTCATCAACAATCTGTGTTATGCAGATTACACAACCCTGCTTGCTGAAGCTGAGGAGGACCTGAAACATTTGCTGCAGAGTGTCAAGGCCTGCAGCCTTCAATACAGATTGAAGCTCAATATCAAGAAAACAAAGATTGTCACCACTGGGCCGATTGACAGCATCGTGATGGATGGTGAAGAGATTGTAAACAGCTTTAGTTTATTTGGCTCATGGCCCCAGCAGCCAGGAAATTAAAATACACTGTGTTGGGAAAGTCGGCTGTTACAGACCTCTCCAAAGTACTGAAGAACAGTGATGTCAGTCTGAAGACTAAGGTGCACCTGATACAGGCCACGGTCTTTGCAATCACATGCTGTATCAGAGAGCTGGACAATGACTAGGGAGGATAGAAGGAGAATTGATGCCTTTGAGCTGTGGTGTTGAAGAAAGTATTGAATATACCATAGACTGCTATGAGAATGAACAGGTTCACCCTAGAGAGGGTTAAACCAGGCTGCTCCTTGGAGGCAAGGTTTCTGAAGTTTTGTCTGACTTTGGACATGTTGCAAGGAGGGACCAGTCTTTGAAGAGGAACATCATGCTTGGGAGGTTGGAGGAACAGCTCAGGAAAGGAAGGACCTTGATGAGATGGGTTGATTCAGTGACTGGTGTAATGGGGGTAGATGTATCAGAGACAGTAAGATTGGTACAGGATAGAGCCGAGTTTAGGGCTGTTGTACATACGGTCGCTATGAGTCACAGGTGACTCAATGGCACATAACAATTATAAATGATACAGCTTTGTTTTTCTGTATTATTGTAGAGGAATTTCACAGACTTACAGAAATCTTGTATCCTGCCACTGTACTAAATTGGTCCACTAGCTCCAACAGTCTTTTTGTTGAGTACTTTGGGGGGGGGTGTTTCTGGGTACACTATTGCCTGCAGAGCATTAAAAGGGACGTGGGGGCACAGGGCCATAAGTGTCTCTCTGAAAGGTCTGAGGGAGTGAGAATAGCACAGCCCCTCACAGGCCCAGAGCAGAAAGCAGATAAAGAGCCCATCGCCCAGCCCCGTGGTGCCTCTAGACCCACACTAGCAGCAAAGGCTTCATTTATTCATAGTTGACTCACAGACTCACAGTTGTGGTACTGAGAATGGGGTTTGTTGCAGACCCAGGGTCCCAAAGAATAGAATAATTTTATAATAAAGAGACAAACAGCCAGGAATGAGATAGAGCAGAGAGTGTAAAACGGGGCCAACAGTTCTCGACCTTGAGCCAAGCTTCTCTGAGTATTTTTATAGAAAAACAAGGAAGTACAAAACAAAGGATAAGGCCAAGTTCCTCTTTATGTTAATCTCAAGAGAGAGGGATTCATTTGATAAAAACTAAGAACAATGTTGACTCCTAGGGAACGCCCTAGTGTCACAAGGTGACCTTCAGCTTGTATTAAGCCTCCCTCATTTCCAGATACAGCATTTGGTGTTCGGCTTCCCTCAGGGGTTTATTAGGGAAGTAAGTTGGAGAGCTGGGGAAGGCAAAGAATATCACCCAATGTGAATCCAAGGTTTAGCCCAAAAGTCCCAAGGCACAACTCCTCAATTAGTCCAGGCTCTGGTGTCAGTTCAGCAAGCAGCCTTTCCATCATCAAAAGCAAGAATAGCAAAACCCTTCAACTGTGGCCTTTATACCAAGACTCCTCTGGTTACAGCTTGCCAGTTTCTCCACAGCAATGTCAGTCTCTCCACCACCATCACCAGGGTCTTGCTCCTGTCTCCCTTAAGTCTTGCTGCTCAGTGTGGGAAGCACTCTCTCATATCCTAATCCTACAGCTATTGATTTGCAAGATCATGTGTCTGCAGTTAAGGTAGCTGGAGTCCAGAAGGAACCAACTATAATGGCTAAAAAAGGCCAACTTTTATGCTAAGATCACAGCTATCATATATCATCTGCATATGACAGTTTAATCGCCTCTTTGCCAATCTAGATGCCACTTATTTTCTTCGCTTGTCCTACTGCCCTAGAAAGTACTTCTAATACAATATTGAATAGGAGTGGTGACAGTGGGCATCCTTGTCTGGTCCCTACTTGCAAACAGAATATTTTTAGTCTTTCTCCATTGAGAATATTGGCTCTTGGTTTTGTGTATATACTTTTCACAATGTTGAGAAAATTACCTTCTATTCTGATTTTGCTGAGTGTTTTAATCAAGAAAGGGTATTATTGGATTTTGTCAAAGGTATTTTCTCCATCAATTACTAGGGTCTTGTCATTCTTGTTATTTGCTTTGTTAATATGATGAATTACGATTATGCTGATTGTTTTTATGTTGAACCATCCTTGCGTACCTATTATGTACCTCAATTGGTGATAATGAATTTATTTTTTCTGTAGGGATTCTATTGGCCAGGATTTTGTTAAGGAATTCTGCATCTATATTCATGAGAGGTTGGTCTGTAGTTTTCCTTTTTGGTAATATCTTTGCCTGGTTTTGGTACTAGGGTTATGCTTGCTTTCATAGATTGACTCTGGGAGTGTTCTTTCATTTTCTATTTTTTTAAATAATTTATGGAGACTTGGTGACAGATCTTTTCTGAATGTTTGGTAGAATTCAGCCATGAAGCCAGCTAGTGCAAATCTTTTCTGTGGGGGTCTTTTTACGACCTGCTCAATCTGTGATGGGACTGTTCAAGTGTTCTACATCTGTCCATGGCAACGTTGGTAAGGCATGAGTTTCAAAGAGTTTGTTTGAATTTCCTCTCAGTTTTCAAATTTATCAGAGCATAGCTTTTCATAGTATTCTGATAATTCTATTTAATGTCATCTGCTTCTTAAAGATAACACCAAACACCTGGTTTACCTTATATGAAGATGGAGGCTCTGCTCTGAGAGGAGTTTCGGGTAGTTTGCCAGGTAAAGCATCCTCTTCGATGGTGGTTTCCACATTCCTTATGAGGTACTGACTGGTGGTCTGCAGTGCACCCACATTTTCTACCAAGGAGGAAGAAAAGCATTACTGTTATGCTAGGATATGCTGGCATCTCTCGTACTCATCCTAAGATTACATACCAGTAATATTTAGAATAGTAAGAACAGACATCATACTATGGAGAAAAGTAAAACATATTTTTTTATTCCCTGACTTAAATGCCATAAGGGCACATCATTTAACAATTCTACAAATTATATGAATCCAAAGTCCACTTTAACCAAATTGGTTTAGAGACTGGAGAGGTCCAAGATGATGTGCCTTCTCACTAGACTGCAACCTTAAACTATGTTTCCCTTTGCTACTAAAATAGATGATCAGAGACTCTATCTTGGGATAGGAAACAAGCTGATATCAAAGGTTTTACAAACATTCACAGTAATAAAGCCTGTGTACTGCCCAGGAATAGACAAATGATCACAGGCGCAGAGATGGACATGGTTTAGCTCTGGTGGCATATACCATAGAGTTGCAATGCTAACCCAAAGACTGCGTATGGACTGTAGTTCAAATCCACCAGTGGCTCCATGGGAGAAAGATGGGAAGTCTCCTACGATTCTATTTACAGCCTTAGAAACCTGAAGGTAAGTCACGTTAGTTGGAACCAATTCAGTGGTAATGAGATTTCTGGGTCAATAGTAGTTACGATTTTTATCACATTGTTGTTGTTGTTATGTGCCATCAAGTCCCTTGCGACTCATAGTGAACCTATGTACAAGAGCCCTAAACTCTGCTCTGTCCTGTGCCAATTGCACTGTCTCTGAAAC